CCTCTCCATCTGCGCGCGGGCTAGTGTGGTGGTGGTGTTGGAGCGGGGGGGGTGGGTCTCGTGAGGGGGGGGGGGATCTTTTCTATCTCTTTGTCTGAAGACGCAAAACAAATTGCTTGGCATGACTTGCATTTTGCATACGCTCGTTTTGAAATATTATGCATTCTAAATCTGCCATTGCCTCTGGACAATCTGGAGGTTAAGTCTAAGCAAACATAATCTGTTAGGTCTCTTATTTGTTTCTTTCTTTGTTGCAGCTTCAGCATCGAGCCCAACTATGATTTCTTGTACATCTATGACGGACCCGACAGCAGCGCCCATCTGATTGGCAGCTTCCAAGACAGTAAACTTCCCGAGAAGATCGAGAGCACTTCTAACTTCATGTACTTGGCATTTCGTAGTGATGGCTCTGTGAGCTACACTGGCGTGCATTTGGAATACAAAGGTACTTTAATTGCCTGTGCAAAGTGGGAATCTTGTATGTTTTTGTTGAATACGCTGCTGTTAGAGCTGGGGATTTACTGTGGTGAATTATAAATGAGTGAATTATAAATGAAGAATATGAAATATGATCAATTATCTCGACTCCTTCGTTTTAAGTGTTTACCAATATGAATTAGCTTCAATTTACAGTTTTAATAAATGAGGCCAATCCTTGTAACAAGGTATATTTATTCTAATGTATGCCTCAGTTGAAGTCCTTCTCGTGTTAGACAGTTGTTTTTGTTGTAAAAGCTTTGTGGTTTTCTTGGATTGGCAGCAAAACTGCGGGAGGCCTGTTTTGATCCCGGGAATGTAATGAACGGCACTAGAATGGGCACGGACTACAAGCTGGGATCTATGGTGACATTTCATTGCGAGGCGGGCTACCTGCTGCAGGGCCATTCTACCCTGACATGTGTCATGGGCAACAGCAAGAGACCTGAATGGGACCGAGCCAAACCCAGTTGTCAAGGTAAGAGACAATGCTTCAGGAACAACAAAAGAGCTTTGATGTGCAGCAAAGAACTGCACCCCAGTTGTTCACGAAATGTTTTACTGTATGTAATACGAGAATAACAGAACATTTGCAGAATCTACAATGTTGTGAATAGAATGGGGACTGCAGCAGCACTTCTACAAGCAATTTCAATCAGGGTCTTTAAATTGCCTCCAACACATTCTGACTTTGCTCTGGGGTATAAAGCATACTTCATTGCAGATGTCCATTTTACTGTCCATATTCTCAGCACTCGTGAACAAGATTTTCAAATCTACCCACTTGAGGCTGCATATTACCTCAAACCTGGAAAGGATACCGTATATTTTTTGGCAGAGAAGCCTGGCTTCAGACTTAAAGGTTCTGACTCTAATCCAATGCATTTTCCCATGTTCTGAAGCCTATAAAGCAGGCTCAACATATCTGGGGTTTCTTTAATAAATCCATCTTAGCTCACCCTGACAATGAAGATTGTGCTCAGTGGTACTACAAGTCGGCTTGATAAGTCAGCTCAGAGCGATCAAGTGGAGCTGCATCTCAGGACAAACCACCATTATGATGCAAAAAAAAGGAGCTGACTTAAGGAAGGCAAATGTGAGATTAATAAAATCATCACTGCCATATCCTTAAAGCACAAGTAGATCTACTTATTAAATGTCCGTGACTGAATTAATGTGCTGCAGGTGCTGCTTTTTACTGAGACAAGACAAAAAGTTTTACCCTTATTCTGTCAGATGCAATTTCAACTCTTTTAAACAGCCTGTTTTAACATAAAAAGAGGAAACAAACTAAAAATAATTCAGTCCATAGAGAGGGCTTGTTTTAAGTAAGTTTGTTTGTTGTCAGTAGAAGTTAGTTGTCCAAAGATGTAATCAAGTACTGGTATAAAATATTTCACAGTAATAATGTAGAAATGAACATAAAGACACAAAATGATGCAGATGATGTGTGATATCCAGTTTACTCAGCTTCCACCATTTGGTCTTCTCTGATTTTACTCTTTTTCTCTTCATAACAACAATAATTCTACCCACAACCATCTGATGTTGTCTGGAGATGCTCTCCCCTGCCACAACCTCACAGTCTCTAATCTCCCTCATTGTTTCCTCTTCTACACAGAATGTAGTCAACCTGCGTACTCCTTCCTCCACTCTTATAGATTACTCTATGCTCCTCCCTATTTTGGAATTAACTTGACTACAGCCATTTCCATTCTCTTGGCAAAGTTCAACTCCATCTGTCTTTCCTGGTTTCTCTCCTTGACACCAAACCTACCCATCACTTCCTCATCCCCTCTGTTTCCTTCACCAACATGTCCATTCAGGTCTGCTCTGATCACCATTCTCTCCTGGGAATATTTTTTATCACTTCTTTCAGATCCTTCCAAAATGTCTCTTTCTCCTCTCTGTCACATCCAACCTGTGGAGCATAACCACTGACGACATTTAGCATCAGACCTTCTACTTCAGACACATCACCTTATCTGACACTCTTTTCACTTCTACTACAATCTTAGCCCACTCCTCCTTCAGGACCACCCCTACTCCATTTCTCTTTCTATCCACACCATGGTAAAACAGTTTGAACCCTGCTCCAATGCTGCAATCCTTGCTGCCCTTCCACTTGGTCTTTTGGACACATAAAACATCTACCTTCCTTCTCTGCATCATGTCAGCCAGCTCTCTACCTTTACCTGTCATTGTTACCACATTTAGAGTTGCAACCCTCAGTCCTACATTCTTGTCATTTGTTTTAGTATAAGGTATTTGTTAATATTTTACACTTTTCCCAATATAAATAAATATTGGAATTTAAAACCATTTAACATAAACAAAATGCAGAATGCTGGTGTAGATTCCCAGTCATCCAGGACATGGTAAATAAAATACAGGTTAAAAAAACCAAACAACTGAACTTCTGTTCTGCTGTTGAAGACGTTTCGCCTCCTGTCTGTGGAGCTATCTCAATTCTAAACGGATCTATTAAGTTCTACACTTTTTATGCAGTTATGTCTTAAATTCACATTCAGATTAAGGAACAGGCCTCTTACAACAAAGAGATGTCTGGTCACGTGCATGAAGGTGTAAATTAAATTCACATGCAGACTGAACTACACGCCTCTCACAATGAAGCATTAGGGTCTTTGTTTGCCTGACTCACAAGATAAATGTTTTAGTCACATGCCTGAAGGGGTGAATAAGAGTGAAACTGATTGGGAACCAGGCTCAGTGCTGGACTGCAATGCCCTGTTTACTTGAGAACAACTTCTGGAAATGTTTGTGTTTTTTCAATATTTATTGAGAATAAACAACAACAACAACAACAAAAAAAGAGAACAGGCTACATAGAAACATTGTAGTTTTCATGCCAGTCAGGGTTTCCTGAGAAGAAATTAATGAACAATTGTATTGACACTTTAAAAATTAATGTATTTTGACCTGAACTGTCGTGTGCGCTGAGTGGGCTTGTACATTCAGAAGGCAGTTCCGCAAAATGGATGCGCAGACCAGTCCATGTTTAAGCTTCCTCTAGCCTTTCATAAATCACAGATTAAGCCACCACTTCCACTCAGATGCTAGCTTCGAGCGGAACCAAAACAAATGTGGAGCAGAACTCTTTTGGGTTGAAGCGGAGCGTGATGCGTTAAATGTGTATCGGACATTTCCCGTGTGTCTCTACTATAATGAATTAACTCACTTTCGCAAACGGTGAGAATTTAGGTTTCCTCACTAGATTTTCTGCCATTTGATTTGTGGTTTCCTTTTGAGATGTTTTTTTTTTTTTTTTTTTTGAAGCACAGTGGCACAACTCGTAGAGCTGCTGCCTCTCAGTGAGAAGGTTGCCGGTTCAAATCCCAGTCCGGGGGCCTTCCTGAGTAGAGTTTGCATGTTCTCTCCGTGCATGCGCGGGTTTTCTCCGGGTGCTCCAGTTTCCTCCCACAGAACAAAAACATGTATGTTAGGCTGATTGGTAACTCTAAATTGTCCCTAGGTGTGAGAGAGTGAATGTTTGTTTGTCTCGTTTGTCTCCATGTGTCCCTGTGATGGACTTGAGACCTGTCCAGGGTGCACACCACCCCTCGCACAGTGATTGCTAGACATGGGCACCGGCGACCCCCGTGACCCAAAAAGGAAGAAGCGGGTAAAAGATAATGAATGGATGTTTTTTGATTCTGTTTCCTTCCTGTGTCCTCTCCTCAGTTTCAATGTGGCACACCTGTCTCTGAGTTCTTCCCCACGGTGTTCCACGTTCCCCCTGATTAGGTGTTCTGTATTTATGTGTGTTCTGTCCTTCACTCCCAGTCAGTGCATTGTATTGTATTGCTCATTGTAGCTCTTTGTGGTTCCTCTTTGAGCCTCCAAACGACTCCTACCTGTGTTCCTTCTATATCCAGGTGATCAGTATAACACGTGGATCCTTTGTTCAAAGAAGTACATTTTGGATACCTTTTTTAATCCATTGTGTCAGGTCTACATCCTGAGTTGCACCCAACCATCACTTACCTGATACAGCCCTGTTTGTGGTTAACTGTTTTTTATTTTATTTTAACTACAAAATTTCAGTGTGTCATCATCAGTATTCCCTCAGTAATAAATCTGTCTGTTGTAGTTTAATCCCATGAGTTGGTGGTCCTCTTGTCTTTTATTATTTTTTCTTCACACATCAGCCAACCCGGCTCTGTTACTACCGCACTCGGCGGCACAGAGGCACATCAGAGGTAGGCTGACTGATCCTCCTTGCCAATTCTGTGTGTCTTCTGAATCGGCCTTGGTGACCATGTAGTGAACCAGATGACCTGATGATCTGACCCTCATCTGACCCTGATGACCTCAAATCTACCAGATGGACAGAGACTGTTATTTTCATTGATCTGAATAAGTCTGAGCCATCTGATGACTTTCTTTCTTGAATTAATCAAGCAGAAAAGACAATCCCCTATAATCATTACTGTCTTACAAATGTTTTGATAATCAAATTGTGTTAGTTTCACTCAATGCTTACAGGTTGAAAAGAACTACTCATTTTTATTTTACATAAACAGTAAGTAATGATTTTATTCCCCATTCAAAGGAGAAATCAGGTTAATATGCATTTCTTGATTTTCTGTCTGAAATGAGCTAAGCTCGTAAGTATGTGAAAGGTTGGTTTTCGGTCAACTAAAATGTTTACCGAGAAAGATGTCATGTTTAAACTTTTTCAGAAGATTACCAAGAGTTGACTCCACGAAGTCTGCTCTCCTGCAATAATCTCTCTGTCAGTTGTTAAAACAATCTCATTCTCTGACCTTGGCTTAGATAACATCTTACGTCACAAAACCACTCCTCTTTCTGGTCCATCCACGAATCAGAAAGCTCTGAAGTAAACTCGGAAGTAAACTCATTTAAAATGTGACAACTTCCCGGTTCTGGCAGAGTGCAGTAGATTCCATGGAGTGCAGTCGGTTCCAAGAGATTCCAGAGTTAGAGTTATGGAGAGTTTTGGAGTTGGAGTCTGAGAAGATCTGAAAGAGTCTGAGAGCTGCTGACAATGAAGAGTCAGAGTTGCCGAGAATCCAGAGACGTTTTGGGATTATAATTCTGTTTTGAACTAACCACGCACGACTCTCCAAGGATTTTAGCTGTTCTCAACGGAGACGCTGATATCAGTCTGAAGGATTCTTACTGAGGTGATCTATCGTCAACAAGGTAACGGTTTCTTCTTCGACTAAAGTGTACCTGGGACAAGCTGAGATACCTGATGGGAGCGTGCAATTTCTGGTTAAACAGATTAAATTCCCTCACATATTCCTCTGTAAGATAAAATCTCCAGTTCATCTTAAACTCACCTCTCTCTCATAAATCAGTACAGATATTTTTAGAAATATCTGAAGCAAAGTCCTCAAATCACCGCCGAGTGATTTGAAGTTCATTATTTGTGAAACTTGTCTGTTATTATTTTCATATTTTGCCAAATTAATGTAAATGTTTGATGTTAAA